TTAAGGCTGGTCTGTCCAGTCCATTAAACATTATTTTCTCCAAATTTTTTCTTCCTTTAGAAAAAAATAATTTTGAATTACAAGTCAGTGACTTGTATTCTGCTGCTTCCTCCCTTGTGACCTTGGGCAGCCACCAATCCAATCCTTAGTTTCTTCATCTATGAAGAAGGTTAATGCCAACATCTTTCTCCTAAGATAATTTGAGAAATAAATAAAATATTTTAAGTACTTTGCATCATGCTAGACTCATAGTGAAGACTCCATGTTATATAACTTAGATTGCCATTAAGTCTCTGTCTCTAGTAAACACTTGAGATAATCAACTTATAAAGAGCAAAAGCTTGTTTTAGCTCATGGGTTTGGAGGTTTCAGTCTGTGATAAAGCCCCATTGCTTTTGGATTTGTGAGGAGGCTCCACAGTGTGGCTGGAGCATGGAGAGGAACAAAACTGTCACCCCAGGGCAGAGGAAGAAAAAGACAGGAAGTGGCTGGTGCCCCAGTCTCCCCTTTAAAAGGCTAACCATCCTCAACCTAACTTCTAATTAGGCCCCACCTCTTAAAGGTTGACCACCTCCCAATAGCATGTAGGCTGGTCACCCAGTCCTTATCATGGGTTTTTGGAGGACGCTTAGAACCCAGAAGGGCTATAGCACTCTAAGTTCAAGGACAGCTGCCTCTTGAAGCAGCTTTATGTTAAATGAGGAATTTTGTAGCTCTATTGGGAGGCGGGTTTTCTTCCTGTGAGGCAGTTAAGCCCCATCTGGGTTTCTCTACTGGGAGGAATTGCAGCAATCTTATTTCATTAGTTTAACTTAATCACTTCAGTTAGTTCATTTTGAAGGGCACTGAGTGTACCTGTCCTTGCCTTCCACCTTGTTTGAAGTGGAGTCTCAGCGCTGATGCATACAGCAGGCTGGCTGGCCTGCAACCTTCCAGGAATTCTCCTGCCTAGCCTCCTATCTCCCATGGGAGCACTGGGACTAGACTCTCTCTCTCACTATGTGTCCAGTGTTGATGTGGGTTCTGGGGATTCAAACTCAGGTATTTGTTCTTGCACAGCCAGTCTTTCACACTACTGAGCCATCTCCCCAGCCCAGATGTTGCTTTTCTTTCTATAACTAAAATGATGGCTGCAATCCTCTGTATAGTTCAATGTTTAAAGGATCAGCGATAGAATTTCTAGTTTTTCATTTTCCCTGAATGATATATGCCAGTCAGTTCACACAACCAAAACCACACTTGGATTTTTAACAGAAAGGGTTTATTTGTTCATTTGCCTATTTGTGTGATAAGGTCTCACTAGGTAGTACAGGATGGCTTTGAACTTGTTTCATCCCTCCTCAGCTTCCATTAAAGAAATAACATGATGTGCTGTGGATTATTGGAGAGTCTGCTCCCCAGGGCTGTGTCACTACCCATGCTCTCTCTGGGTGGGTGTTTTTCCTGAGTTCAGCCATTACTTTGCATGATGAGGAAGTCTGCATCCTTCTTTGCAGCTTTTTCTTTCTGTAGGGCTGCAGTTCTTGTGACCAACTATTGACCAGACTGGACAACCCTACAAAGATGGAACAGGTACCTCCTGTACCTCCATCTATGTGAGAGGCCATGTAGAAGGGGCCCCTGCCCATCAGCACTCCACAGAGGCTTGACCTTTGCTTCTAGTACTCCCCAGTTAGAATGCCTCTTCCTCTACTATACTACCTAGCTTCTCATGTTTCTCCCATCATTGAGCTTCTCTGAGTTTAGTTAGTACTAATCATACAATCTTCTTTATCTTAACCTATGTATCTTAAAGAGCAAGAGCCATTTTTTACGTATAGCATTCTTGCCACCATGATGGTCAGACTTTCCTATACTGTATTTGACACATACTAAATCTCAATAAATACTTTTCAATTTCAGTTACTAATGTAAGTATGCACACGTGCTCACACATGTGAGTTTCACTGAAAATATAATATGCAGAGTTCAATGCAGGAGCACTTGGCTGCGTGGCTTGAAAATATAGACTATCACCCATGGGTGCTTGTCAAACAGTCACAGACTCATGGATTTTTTTTTTCTGTGACATGTTACTCCAAGATTTTCATGGCTATAGCTAGTACACTATATAATTCATTTAGTTTAAAAAAAAAAATCTCATTACCTCCTTTGACTTACCTCCAGCCCACCCTCATGTCCTGACTGAGCTGAGATTCTTCCTGACACACCTGTCCTCCTGACTCAAAACTATTGGCAGTCTTGGTCTGTGTCTCCTGTCAGTATCCTCTCCTGTCCATGTAGTTAATAAGGCTCTTCTTACTAACATTTTTTGACATTTTATCACATGTCAAAAGTATGTTGACAATTGGGTATACATTTTCATTTATTTTCTTCACATATGAGAAGTCTTAAGGCTCAGAGGTATTAAATAGTTTATTGGTGTATTTTGTTCTTTTTTTTTTGGTCTTTTTGAGACAGGGTCTCCCTGTAGCCCCAGCTGTCCTGGAACTCACTATTATGTAAACCAGGCTGGCCTTGAACTCACAGAGATCCACCTGCCTCTGCCTCCCCAGTGCTAGGATTAAAGGCATGCACCAACACACCTGGCCCATATTGGTGTATTTTTTTAAATTTATTTTTACTTAAACTAAAAAATAAGATATATAAATATGTAAGTACACCCATGCATGCAATGCCTGCAGAGCCAGAAGAGGGTGTTAGATCCCCAAGAAATGGAGTTTTGAACAGCTGTGAGTCACCATGTGGGTGCTGGGAACTGAACTCAGGTCCTCTGGAAGAGTAGCCAGTGCTCTTAACCCCTAAATGGAGACCCCTGGGATCTTTTTTAATTGAACTTTTGCAATTTTCATACACTATAATTTGATGGTATCTAGATCCCTTCCCTATCCACACCTCCCCTTATTGTCCCCCCACCCAATTTAATGTACTCCAGATATAATTATATAGTATATAATTATATAATATACAATGCATGTATATTATTATATAATAAGGCTTAGCTAGTTTAATTTGTGTCCCCACATGTCCTTCAGTGTGGAGCCATTCACTGGAGCCTGATTAACTTACCAAGAGTCCCATGCTTGAAAGAGACTCTCTCTGTCATTCTCAGCAAACTATCTGTTGCCACAATTTCCTTAGGTGAGGTTGGAGCTTCTTACCCCCTTCCTCATGTCTATGCTAAAATTTTTTCTGGTTTGAGCTTGCATGGAACTGCATGCTGTCACTATTGCTGTGAGTTCATATGAGTAACTGACCAGCTGTCTGGATAACTTTGTTTCCTTATGGTCATCCACTACCTCTGGCTCTGACCACCTTTCTACTCCCTCTTCTGCAATGTTTCCCTGAGCCTTGGGAAACAGAAATTTGATATAGGTGTTCTATTCAGGGATAAGCACACTGCAGCCTCTTATTCTTTACACATTTGGTCAGTTGTGGGGTTTTGTGTTAAATCACCATCTGTTGCATTAAATAAAAAAAAAAAAAACTTCTAGAAGAAGTTGAGAGATGTATTAATCTATGGGTAAAATAATAAGTCATTAGAAGTCAATTGAATACAATAACTAATAGAAAACTAATATTAGAGTCTCCCCCTAAATATGCCCTCCAGTGCATTAGTGGCACAAATATTAAGGGTGTAACCAACCACTCTCTAATTAGATTTAAGCTCTTCTTCCTAGGATGCAGCCCATACCTGACATTGATATCAGACTTAGGAACCTGAGGCTACACAGGTCACAGAACATAGTAGAGTGTTATTTTTAAAAAAGAAGTATTACTTTCAAAAAACATCTCTGTAGTCTTCAAATATCTAAAATATCATTTTATATTACTAGAAATATGTGCAAGTTTATACAAAGTTGAGGATTTTGATTCTGAGAGGAAAATGCAATTATAGTGTATAGTGTTAGTCTTACAGCTAGAAAGCACACACCCACATATACACATGCATAATTCTTGTATGTACATGTAGTTAGGTTTTATACAATTCATTTTTATGTTAAGCACTTTAAAATTATATATTTAATTAAAAATTATTTTTATTATTTTATGTGTATGAGTATACTGCCTGCATGTATGTAAGTGCATCCGTGTCATGCAGTGCCCAAATAGGTCAGAAGAGGGTGTCAGATTCCTTAGAACTGCAACTATGGACAACTGTTAGCCAGAGCTGTAGGTGCTGTGATTTGAACCTGGGTCCTCTGCAAGAGCAGCCAGTGTTCTTGACCACTGAGCCATCTCTCCAGCCCCTGAACATTCTTAAGAAGATGCAGCATATGATTCTTATCTTCTATTGAATCAGGCAGTCTTTAGGAAATTGTCTGAAATTGTGTACTCCACACTCTTCTTTTGTTTGGCTAGGAAAAGGAGAGTATCTATTGATTGACTGATTGATTGACTGATTGATTGATTGATTGATTGATTGATTGATTGATTGAAAGTGTATCCATCCCAAAAACTTTTAAAATGAAGAGCCAGTGGTTGTGAGCTATTGGGGCTGGAAGGTTATTGGACCAGGGAGTAGGCAGTCTCTATGGAGAACAATGCTGAGATGGGTTGGAGGAAGTATACTGCAGACAGTAATAACAATAAAGAAAGGAAGCATTCAGGTTTTAAAAGCAAGAGGCTGAGCTAAGAAAGCCAATTAGGAAATGCTACATTTTGGTGTAGAAAATAGCACACCAAAGAGATCCCTGTTCTGCATCTCCCAACTCTGTTCAGCCTCAATGTGCTCTGAAAGCTTACTGACACAAATATATTAAAATATTTTTAAATGAATATCCAAAGTATTCCAAAGTTGTTCATTTTCTTAATATCAACACATTGTAATATATTTGCATAGTTTAATAGTTAATAGTGAGGCATTATGGAAAAAAATCTCTAGGCATAGATGTATACGTTTTTAATTTTTAAAATTACACCCTGTAGTTCTTTCCATATGAGAACATAGAAACCAGCCTGTCTCTTTCATAGCTATAGTAGTCCATTGTTTGGCTATATGAATGTCCACACCTGAGTGTGTTGTACCTGTGTTGGAGAGCTTGGATCAAGCTTGGTAAGAGCAAAGGTGAACATGCTTGTAGCTTGTAGCTTGTAGCTCCTGGGAAGGGTACAGTTCTGCGCTTATGTCAGTGTTGTCTAGAAATTCATGGCTCTTCTGGTTGTCCAACTGAAGCTATTGTTAAATATTTGTAGTTTGTTGAGACAATAGATCAGAAATATTATCTCAGTGTTGTATTCATTTGTATTTCCTACATAATGTTATTCCAAAGTTAAGCCAGAATCCTATGATCCTCAATGCTGGATAATGACAGCATTGACTAAAACAAGAAGATGAGAAAAGTGATGATTTAGGAGGGTTCTTTGATCTTTGGTAGTAAAGGGCATCCAAGAGAATGACCGCTCCAAAGAGATGGGAGGTTAACCAACAGGGCAGTTTGGAAGTAGTTACAGCATTAGGACTTGATGATTCAAGTTGCATTTCCTCTTAAAATTAGGCAACTGGATACCAAAATGCATGTCCTGGTGAATCTCACTGAAATCAACTTTCTTTCCAGTGCTTTCACATTTTTGTTCATCAAAAGCGAAGTACCAAACAGCCCATGTTCCGCAGACACTACACCGCTGATTACAGAGCAGGTGAGTATCACATAGGAGATGATTAATTTGAGACTTAAGATCAGGATGTAAGAAAAGACAACTCTGACACTCAGGAGAGAAGGCAGTGTTTTCTTTTACTCATGGCTACAGAAAATATCTCAGCGTATTGATTACAATGCCTCTGTGTCACAGCGGATTGGGTTTCCACAGTGGGGCTCCTTTGAAGCACAAGGCTTCCTTGTTCTGATGATAGATCTGTACTAGATGTACACAGGCAGCTCATTTGAGGATATTTGGGGATTTGTACAGTCTTGCAGAGACGAGAAAACAGCTTAGGGAGAAGGAGGCAAGAGGTTGAGAGGGAATGGATGATGGTCAATGAGGTCATATGCCAGTAGGAAATGGGCTTGATTTTCTTCCTGTTTATGCTTTTATCATTATCACGTTTTGCTTAATGGCAGAGACAGAAAATATATAAGCAGGCACTGCTTTGGTCATGAATAATATAAATTAGTCCAGAATAGCCAGTCAGTATTAAATATGGCCAAGCTTAAAGAGAGCTGGTACTGCCCAGGTGTCCAGGGGTGCACTGTGAAGCTGGCATGAACCCAACACCAGCCCTTCAGTCCCAGGCGTTCTTTCTGTCTGCAATGTGCCCAGACCACTTACCGCCCTCCGAGCCTGCACCCATTGCCCAAAAGCTTTTCTTCCTGGCCATGTAACCTCTGTGTCTTCCTTCAAAATTAACCTTCTCTTCTCCTTTCCTTCTTCCCCAGCCAAAACTTCCATCAACCAAGATGACATTGATACCTTTGTTAAATTGACTTAATTGATTAATTACTTAAAAGAAAGAAAGAAGAGATATATTACTTCCTGGGCAGCTCTAAGCATGGGTGTGTTTCAGGAAGAAGGCCCTGAGAGAATGTTCTTGTTTTTGCTGGCTTTAGCCATCTAGACACCCCTCCTAGTAACCGTCCTTTGAAGAAAGGAACAAAGTAAAACAACGAAACAAACACAACTTGGGAAAAGACACATGGGAGGCCTACTAGACATGTAGGCAAGTTGGAGGGGTAGAAAGAGCCAACTTTAATGTTAGGTGAGCACCAGGATTGGTGAGGATGCAGGTACTAGGCCTGAGCTCTACAGCATCAACTGATTCAGCACAGATGAAGAATTCAAATCTAGCTTTTGATCTCCTACAAGTTCACTTCAGCTGGAGGTCACAAAACATTATCATCAACAATGAAGATCTTATAAATTTGCTCACAAATTTTCTCAATTTAAAATATTGGCCTAACCTTGAAACATGGCTGAAAATATTTTACATAATTCAGTGGAACAGAAAACTTCAAACAGTGCAATTCAGTCAAAAAGCTGCAGAAAAATGTTTATTGATTATTATGCATTTGATTATAGTGGAAGTCTGAGTTTTTCTTGGTTCCAATTTCTCTGCAGTTTATTAAAATACACTAATGAATCACAAGAATTAATAACCTTTGTTATTTTGATTAAGTATATAAAATTGACACAAAGTGATCTATGAAAAATTAAGTGAAGAACTTGCCAACTGCCAAACCAATCTCACAATAAAGTATGGAATCAGAGTAGTTGCTGTGGACTCTCAGAGCTCATAGGTGACCTGTGTGTATGTTAAGGCATGTTCGAGAGAGAAGAACAGCTCTGAAAGTCTTTTCATCAACACTGTAATTCTTTGCTGAAAGTCCTTGTATTTGCATTTGTTCTGATATTTTCAACAGGTGATCAACACAACTCCAGGCCCCTGTGCCAACTCTTCCTGGGTGGACAGACTTTCTCCTACATACCACCACATCGTGTAAGGAGAGGAAGTTTCTCTCTCTCTCTCTCTCTCTCTCTCTCTCTCTCTCTCTCTCTTTCTATTTCATATTTGGCTAAAGTAAAGTGTCCAGAGAAATGAGGTCATACTCATCTGAGTCCAGGAAGAAAATGGCGATGCACTTCCAGCTCCTGGGACTAATGAGGTCCTTTTGTACCCCAGTGGATTTTAGGTACAGCGGTTAGTCTTTGGGCTCAGCTTCTTCAAGGAACAATAAACCATTGTAGTGTCTCTGATATCTCTGACTAGTTAGCTGGGAACAAAAGCAACTGCATTTTGTAGAACTTCAGCATCTAAAGCAAAGAGGTTGTACAATGACCAATGTGTTGTGATCGTTGACAACTTAATTAAGCAATCTGCTTCTTTTTCTCTGCCCAACCCAGGACTGCTACCTTACTTTAATTTTAATGTGTTGGATAGTTTTTTGATCCCAGATATCTGCTGTTAAATATATTAGAATGGTTTAAGTCCGTGTGGCTCCTACCCCCAATCTCCATTATGAGTAATTCACAGAGAAAGGCTCAACAGCAGCCTGTCTTAACTTGGGGTCCTGGAGGTTCAGTGGTTTGATTTTTCATTTTGTTCTGTTTTCCTGAAGACCCAAATAGATATTAAAACATATAGCATGCAGTATGCCTTTTACAATTCATGCTGTCTTGAACTTTGTATGACAGTAACCCCTTCTTTGGACTCAAGAACATGAAGCGGTGTTTTGTTTTGTTTTGTTTTGTTTGGTGCATGATGGGAAAACATTCTGTCACTGAGCCATGCATCCTCAATCTACAGGCAGACAGACGGTCTTTACAGTGGTAAAGAAATGCTATAAATATCTGAATAAATTAAATGCCTGAAAGAATGAACAAAAATAAATTCTGAAAATATTAAGTATGTAATTGTTTGTGCATTCAGAATGAAAGTTTCCCAACAAAAGGTTTTTTTTTTAAATATTTTTCTTCACAAAACATTTCCTTCCTTAAGGAACACTATTCAGAAAAGAGTTTTAGGGCTGAGGCTATGGGTAAGTGGTAGAGCATTTGCCTAGTACACAAAAGACCCTGGATCCATCCCTAATACCACCAAGAGAAAAAGAAAAAGATTTTTAGTTTCAGTGAGACTTAGTCTCCATCTTGATTGTGTTTAGGCCACTCTGGGATCATGATGTCCTGTCCCCATACAAGTCAGGGATTTCTAGTGTGCATAGAATGTGTTGGCAATGTGTCCTGAGAGCTCTGGATTCCCAGATGCCTCAAAAAGAGATTGGTTAAATTTCTTAAATGAGAAGGATTAAAATTGACAAGGAATTTAAGGAGATTTGGTTTTGGTCTTTTAAAAAATTTGTTTTATGTATATGAGTGTTTTGCCTTCATGTATATTATAAATGCATGAAGTGTGCAGTGCCCGTGGAGGCTAGAAGAGGGCATTAGATCCCTTGGAACTGGAATTATGGATGGTTGCTAGCCACCATGTGAGTGCTGGAAACCAAACCCATGTCCTCTGAAAGAGCAGCCAGTGCTCTTAATCCCGGAGCCATCTCTCCAGCCTCTTTTTGGTCTTCCTTGAGGTAACGTCTTACTGTGTACTACAGACTAGCCTTTGAACTTGGACTCCTTCTGCCTCAGTCTCTCAAATGTATAGATTACAGGTATGTGCTACCATACCTTGAATAATGGAGTTTTGCCTAAAACTGTTTCTTCTCTTAAATCATTATTGTTTGTATCATGACAGAGGGACTGTCCTAAAATAGCCATACTCTCCACATCCCCCAAATCACAAGAAATACCTGTTCTATGCAGACAGGGCCCATGGCTGAGGAGCAAGCAGGATTTCAGTGTTTAAAATGAAACTTTTTTTTTTTTTTATAGGATAAAGGAATTTTTACCTAAAATATCCAGATTCTTAGGTTAAATCAGTACTTCTTAACCAAGCCATAGTCAAGTCCGTGGACCTTCATGATTGTTCCAAACAAAAGTGTATTTGTCTTAGTTTGTCCTTAGTTTAACAAAAGTACATTTTTGAGAGAAACATGAGAGACATAATGTACATCCACAGATACCTCACACATTAGTTTGAGAACCAAGATTTTATATGCCGTGTAAAGCCAGTGGTAGCAATAGTCTCATTGGTAATGATGCTTTGCAGTGATGCTCCCTTTTCCCCTCTGTACATTGTTTTCTTCCCCCATTACAGTACAGGGCTGAGGCTGCATCTCTATCCTGCTTGATACTGTGGGGTGTGACTCTCCTGGTCACAGAGCTCAGCATAGGCAGGTAGCTTCTGCTGAATTGCTTAAGATGAGCATATTAAAGGAGGCGTGTTTCTCAGAAATACTGCCTTGGGCCAAGATTCACAGTGATTTCTTTTGTTTCCTCAGGGGCTGCAGTCTCGCAGTAATATCTGGAATACTCTATGGATGTACATTTGTGCCAATCATTTACATCAAGGACCACAGCAAAAGGAATGACAGCATATATGCAGGGGCTAGCCAGTATGGTAAGAGAAAAAGGTGTTCTAGTCCAAGTCCTATCCAGAAGCATGTATCAAAAGGTTTATTATTCACTGATACATTGTGATTATGAAAGGCTGTGATCGAGTCAGTATGTGTGCAATTGGTCTTTTTCATTTGTAAGTGATGAAATAGAAAAACACCAAAGAATAGAGGTAATAAGGGACTATTGGAGTGTTTTATGGGATCTTTAACATACAAATGGAATCAACTCCCATCAGGAATCATTTCCACTGCTAAAAGAGATCTTAGCACAGGGTTTCTAGCTTTTCATTAAGATTTGGAGATTATTTTCCAATTAGATAACCTCTGGGGAAATATGCATTCTGCATTTTTGAAAAAGCAAATGTGTAGTACAGAATATTTTAATCAAGTGAAGGTCAAAGTGTAGCCTGTTTAATCAGAGGATATTATTTTTCAAGCACAGAGTAGTCTATCAAAAGGATTAACATAATGCCTCCAGCTATAAAACTAATATCTCAGGAGTAAACCAAACATAATATACAACAACCATGTGCAGGCTGAAAAGGAGGCAGAAGAGGATCCACAGTAGGGGTTCTGCAGTTCCGACGAAACCGGGCATACTTAAAGAAGCAAGATCAATGGATAAAGTAAAGTTCTAGGTTCTGTGGTGTGGAAAGTCAATATAATCTATAACCAGGTAAGGGAGAAGTTTGAAAAGCAAAAGCCATAAGGAAGGAAATTCATGAAGCAGGCTTACAAGTGCAAGGCCAGTTTAGTAGTCTATACTGTATAGGGGGTTCTAGGACTAGGCTACTTTCTTGAAACTGTTTCAAAAAAAAAAAAAAAAAAGAGATTGTTGTTGGGTTTGAACTTGACTTTGGCAGAGTGGACAGTCTTGGAAATGTCACACAGATACTTTCTTCCTTTCTGTATTTAGCCCCATGTGCAGTTCTCAAACCTTTTATTGACCTCCTTTCTTCTGTTAATATTTTACATAAATTTCTTTGTCTTTTTTCATTTTTAATATTTTTTTTGAGAATTTCACACATGAATATTATATTTGCATCATTTCCAGACCTCCAGTTCCCTTCCAACTCCCTCCCTGTCCCCACTCCCTCTCAATTTCTGGTCCTCCTCTTTGATTGTTATTATTACGTATACATAAATTTATAAATGCATATGAATATAATGCACTGAGTCTATTTAGTGATGTTGTGTGCTTAGTATGAACTAGATAACCTATGAGAGAGCTTATCCCTGAAGAAAGCTGATTCTTCTTCCCTCAGTATCCAAGATTAAATAAAACTCAGATAAATTAACTGACAGGAAAAAAGGATAGAAAAAATAAAAGGAGCCAAAATAAGTTTAAAATCTTTGTACTACACTTGTGCATTTGCTTGAAATAAGCCATGAATTTGGCTCTCGGATTTCTCATAGCCACAAGGAAAATCAAATCAGTCTCAGAATTCAGTGAACAGGAGATAAAAGCAACTGATTGTTCAGGAATAAAGCTCTTCTCAGTCCCAGGATATAATAAACACTGTCCTCAACAGTCCCCTCATATAAATCCACAATGAGTTTGTAGAGATTGTTCTTATGATTCTGGCTGTAAGGATATAGCCTGATGGGAACATACTCTATTGCAATTTCTCAAAAAATAATCCTCAGACGGTGTTACTTTTTACTTTGCTTAGCAATGTATGTATCCTGTGCTCTGTTGTAAGGACTTTTCAGATACTAAACTGATTAACCCTAATGGAAACTGCCTCTATTGTTATCCTGGTTTCTTGGGTGAAACATTAAATCAGAGAGCAATTAGGCAATTTTCCCAAGTTCCACAGCCAGTGAGAAGTAGAGGAAGTGGAGAGTACATATGAGGCTGTGTGTTTAATCACTGTTACGCTGCTTTTGTGTCTGTATATGGATACACTGCCTCTATGATTTACAGTAGGATTTACAATTTAGAAGAATGGGCAGACTTGACATTCATGGTTTCATCAACTAACACAGCCACTTTTTGTCAAAATTGTGACAGAAGCTTGAGTCCAAGGTGGATTTCACAGCCAGGCGCCTGTAGTGCACCCATCTGTGTTTCAAAGTGACACCTGCTCAAGCTGTCAATGATATTAGGTTTTCCCAAGATGGGCCACCACCGTGTGTCACTGCTCCTTCTTCTCTTGTATCTAGGTTGTGATAAACAGATAAAGCTGACTTTTAAATGGCTTCCTAAATGTTCTCCTATATAGCTGTCATCTGCAACAGAGACACTAGTCTCCGACTGTACCAGCAGGTCATATAGCAATGCCATTCATACACCCCCATTTTTAAAAAATATTTTATTATTTTATTTTATGTATATGCAAGTATTGCCTGCATGTAGGTAAACACACCCGTGTCATGCAATGCCTGCGGAGGACAGAAGAGGCCATCGGATCCCCTGGAACTGGAGTTACGGACAGTTGTTAGCTGCCATGTGGGTGCTGAGATTCAAACCTGGGTCTTCTGCAAGAACAACTAGTGTTCTTAACTGCTGAGCCTTCTCTCCAGCCCATACACCCCCATTTTTAAGCCACATCCTCCCTGCAGTCTACCTGGACTTGCTGCAGCTGCTACAGTTCTTAGTAAAGTGACCTGAATAGCTTCCTAAAAGGGCTGCTTAGCATCATAGTCACATAATGTTTATTGTTTCTTGTTGACCTTTCTAAAATGAATATGAAAACTAGCCTGTGTGATTTGATTATAGTTAATTTTATGACTTACTATTTCTAAATCTTAAATCTGTTCATTAAAATTCTATACAAATAGCACATGGAAAAAGAAAATGATTAAATATAATTAATGGTTCTTTTGCATTTAAGGTTAGTTTTATGAGTTTGTTTTATTTTCAGAAATTAAAGTGTACTTGGGATGGTTAAAATGATGTTTGAGAGTTTCATAATTGTATTTGCAGATTTAGACTACGTTTTTGCACATTTCAGTGGCATCTTTCTTACAAGTACAGTCTACTTTCTGGTCTATTGTATAGCCATGAAAAATAGTCCTAAACTGTATCCTGAGGCAGTCTTACCAGGTAAGAACATTAACAACACAAAATCATTACTGTGTGAAAGCACGAGTCTCAACTCATTGAGGCTCATTGAGCTTGAATAATCCAGTTTCTGAGGGGGGAGGGGAGGGGCATATTTCTTAATTAGGTAGGCCAAGCTCACATGAAATATGAAGTATTAAAAAGCCAAGAAACTGTACACAATATGCTGCTTATTAATATAAAACTCCAAATTGTTGGAACAATGAGTTTGGAGATGTTTTTGGGGCTAAAAGCTCTTTTGGACAGGGAACTATTTGGGACACCAGTCTTTATCATTTTTATTTTTCTACCACTTAAGAATTAATATTATAAGTCAGAGCGTTGTGCCCCTACTTTTTTTAGTATCAACAGATAGGAATCTGCAGTCACTTGGAAAAAAACAACAGTTCTTCCAAGATGTAAAAGAAAAAAAAAAATGGCTGTAGAGTTCATAGCAGGTGTGTTAAATGCAGCTTTAAGTCATAATCCATTAAGCATTGATTGTTAAAACAATAACAGTAGTTTTTCATTGAAGAGCTTTTTCCATAATTCAATTCGGAATATAGGTCCAAAAGTGTAAGTGATTCCATTCTTTTGAATGTCATATTGATTTATGCTAAGGGTACCACCTTCCAGAAAATGGTAGAATATTTATTGAATGCCTAGCTAAAGTATTATGAAATGTTTAGCTAGTATTTTCATTTGAAAGCTAGGATTTTGTTTTCCCCTGGCGCTAGTATCATTCTCAAGCTCTCTTCGTTTCCTGTCTCTGATTTGGAGTAAAAGCTGTTGGCAGGAAGTGCTCAGACCTGCGCTTCTAGGTTTCTCTCTCTACTCGCAGTCTCTACCTCAATGATTACTTCCTTTATCAGTAAAAGGAAAGGCTTGATCCTTGTACCCATAGCAACCAAGAGCAGAGAAATTATTTGGCTTCTAAAGTGACTATCAGGCACAGCAGAAGTCCCTGCTGGCCAACGTTCTTGCAAAGATGCTTTTCCCTGCACTCAGTCCGTGGTGTTGAAAGAGGGATTTTCCAGGCGAAGACCACGTCTCAAGAATGTGCGCTGTCCCGTGTGTTTCAGGGTTCCTCTCAGGGGTGCTGTGGGCCATCGCCACCTGCTGCTGGTTCATAGCCAACCACTCGCTGAGCGCCGTGGTCAGTTTCCCCATAATCACTGCGGTAAGTAGCCAAAGTGTTGGATTCGTTTCAGGAGTAAAAGTAAAACACTGGGGTAGATAAGATGCCAGCTCTCCAGTCTCCAACGTCCCTGACTGCAAAGGCGCGAGCATTTAGGACCTTGTTCCAACAGGATCGTGGACCCCTGGTCTTCTGTGTCCTTGCAGGTTTTTGCTCATTTTACCTAATGTCAGTTTGGATGCATTATAATTTTCTATTCATAACTCTATCAATCTCCATTTGTATAGTGGTTTATAAATATCGTAAATGTGAAACTAGGGGACGAAGAGATGGTTCAGTGGTTAAGAGCGCTGGCTGCTCCTCTGAGACCAGGGTTCAGGTTCCCAGCACCCACATGGTGGCTAACAATGATTTGTCACACCAGTTCCAGGGGATCTGATTTTCTTTTCTGGCCTCCACAGGCATTGCACTGTATGTATGTTGTGCATATATATATATATACATATATATATACATATATATATATATGTATATATATATATATTCAGGCAACACACTCAAAAATAAAAATCAATCTATCAAAAAATTTTAATAAAAAAATATGAAACTAAAAGCACTTCAAGACTCCTCTTGACACTAAGTTTCGGGGCATTTAAGGAAATTTTCAGAAAGGGCTTGCTTATGAATGATGCCCTTGATCACAGCAAACACTGCTGCCTGCTTCATGTAGTTTTTAGGTGATAATTATGTGAAATATAGGTAACAGGGAGACAAAAATGCTTCTTTTGACATAGTGTAATTCCTACAATTATCCCCATTTTGAAGATGAGAAAATTAAGGCATTAACAAGAACACTGCCTAAATGACAGAGCTGGTAAAAACCAGGAACTTACCAGCACAGTTTCCACATCATCACTGTAGAATACAACTTAGACCTGTTTCCATCTATTGTGGTCCAGGGACTGACGTATACCCAAGAATTTTCATAGTGTTAAGTTCTTCTGCCCAGTTGTTCTCCTTTTTCCCCAATTTCTAAACTTTCTTCAATCATTTTAGTAGCAGTAGCATACTTGTGAAACCTATAAAACTATTTTTCTATTATTGTTTTAAGAAAAAAAAACCATCTTGACTAATCTAAAACAGACTCCATAAAAGTTTGATAAAAGCAGCTGGGTGTGGTGGCGCATGCCTTTAATCCCAGCAGAGGCAGGTGGATCTCTGGGAGTTCAAGGCTAAGCCCTGGGTTCCAAATAGTATCTTGTTTATTTTTCTTTATATGTATGAGTGTTTTGCCTACATGTATATAAGTGCACCCACATGGATGCACATGGGTGCAATGCCCATGAAGGCCAGAAGAAGATGTCAGATCCCCTGAAACTGGCATTACAGATGGTTATTAGCCACCATGTGGGTGCCGGGAACAAAACCCTGGTTCTCTGGCAGAGCAGCCAGTGCTTTTAGCCACTAAGCCACCTCTCCACCTCCTGTTCTTTTATTTTTAAAATAGAGTCTATATAACCCAGATTGGCCTCAAATTTGAAATTCTCCTGCTTCAGCCTCCAACGTGTTAGAATTATAAGCATGTACAACCACATCTGGCCTAGATGTTTCTATATTCATAAAATAACTTTCAAATGTAACTAAATTAAAATAATACAAGTTATTTTTTCTCACTTAAAGAGTCTTCATATTGACTTGTAGAGAATATATTCATTTCTAGCAAGTTAAAAGAAATTTCATTAGCTCTAAAATCGTTATAAAGGAAAGACAAGGAAGGGAAGCCACTTCGTGTTAAAGAACCCCCTCACCTCTGCTCCCTGTATTCTCTAAAAATTCCAGAACTGAATCAGTTCATCCAGAAAACTTGGCTACTTAGGTCAGGATCAAGCCTGCCTCTTTTTTCAAAGGCTGACTTATATATAATTTGTATTACTTTACCAAAGGAAAATACATAGTTCAAATGGCCAAAACAGCTGCACTTCCTAAAATGCGCTCCCCATTTGCCCCTCCTTTGCCTGGGACATACTTTGACCCCAACTTGCATTACTTCAGCACAGCCTCACTTCCTAAAGTCACATTCCTCCTCAGGAGTGCTGAGAATGTGGCTACACTAATACTTAGAAAATAATCCCTCAAGAAGCTTTGGAAGGCAGTGGTACCTTGTGGTCCTGTCTTCTAACTTTGAAGGAAAATGAATTTTCAGGACAGAGAGGCTAAAGATTCCTGAGCAACCTGCATGACATTGTATCAAATCCCCTGGTCTATTGTTTCTCGGTAACCCACCTCAAGGCATAAGATTCTCATTTAATTTGGATTTAGAGGCTCAGCACTTCGCCTCACTGATGTCACACAGTTCTGTTGACCTATTTCTCTGGCTCTTTTGATGTTGACTTCACAGATGTTGATAGAGAATAAAACATTTTTATTGTTTCCTTTGCATGTCAGGAACAGAATCAAACTGTTGGCTGTGCCATGCAGGCAGTGGGGTGGCAGTGGGAGAGAACACTGTGGAGTTGTTCACTGAAGCTCTTCCAAAGAGAGTCCCCAGTCTCACATACCTCCTTCATGAAGGCCATGGTTAAGACAACTCCATTTTTTTTTCCTTGCTGTTGAAAAATATTAACACCAAATCCAAATAGCTCCAAGGTTTCAGGCCGTAGAAAAGTACCCTTTCTCTGTCTTATTTCTTCTCATTTCCCATTTCTTGTCCTTGCTTCCAGCAATTCCTGCACTTTCTTGCATACTTTTAGCTTTCCATATAGCCTTTGATATCCATTTGTGTTTACTATTAGACAAAGTTGATGGGACTGTGAGGGGACATGATATGTTTATATGTACATTGCCTGTCAGGGAGAAAACATATCATTTCTTCAGTTACGAGACTGTCTAATGAATGCTGAGAAAATTTAAAGTGTGCCCACACACTTTATCTTATCAGTCCCTTTATAGATGCCTAAGAAGTAAGTTAAATAGCCAGGTATAGTGGTGCACGCCTTTAATCCCAGCACTCGGGAGGCAGAGGCAGATGGATCTTTGCAAGTTCAAGGCCAGCCTGGTCTACATAGTGAGTTCCAGGACAGCTGGGGCTACAGGGAGAGCCTGTCTCAAAAAGACAAAAAAAAAAAAAAAAAAAAAAAAAAAAAAAGTAAATTGAATAGAAAAATAAGCTATGTGCTTATTAAAATATGACTTTTTGTTTATTCTTGTTTTTTATAGTATTGAGGATTAAACCCAGGAGTTCCCATACACTAAACAAGCACTCTAGCACTGAATTATATCCATAGCCATTTGCAAACTTATTCTATCTTTTATTTTAAGATAGTCTAATTAAGCTACCCAGGCTAGCTTTGAACTCACTCTGTAGTACTGGCAGACCATCAACTTAGAATCCTCTGCCACCCACATGTGTAGCTGGGACTACAGACATACCACCAGGCCTAGCTAAAATGATTTATTAAAAATATATTGTGGTATTGTCAAAATAATAACAATAATGACTGTGGGAAGAAACAACTAAAAAACTCTGTGTTTTACTTAAGTTTTCAAGATTTTTTGATTAATGTGGATCCAGGGTTTAGATTATGAATTTTTTGCCCTGCAAATATTTATGTTCTGTATGGCTTGCTAGATTTATTCAGGGTACAGTTACATGAAAATATCCAATAGAATTAAAGTTCTTATTCTTGTTTAAGGGTCCTGGATTTATAGCTGCATTGTGGGGCATCTTCATTTTTAAGGAAATACAGGTACGTATGCAAAGACAGTTGCTATCCCCAAATGCAATCATTCCCTTTCTCTAGGAAACTAGGAAGTTTTAGAAAATTCTTAAACTCAAAGGAGAGCAAATTGACCCCCTGAGATCATTATCCTTCAGCTGTGTAGATAATAAGATCGAGCTGGGCAAAGTGTTCATATAATTAGGTTGCACAGCACTTGTAGCTGAAGCCCTATTTTTTAATTCAAGTAATTATGTCGACATAATTTACTAATTCACCATGAACATTTGAAATCACTCAAATATATTCATTCTTGAAACAAATACTGAGGGCCAATTCTGCACTAGTATTAGCATCTAGCTAAAAGTAAAGACTTTGTAAACTAGGAAAAATATTTTGGAGACCTAAAGCCTTTTTAGTAGGGGGTTCACATGCACAGATGAAGAGGGGTTAAAGTATGGGTGCTACATAAGCTGACCCTATCTGGAGGCTTTAGGGAGCTGCAGAACTAGACGCCTTCTCTAGGAACCTCACAGGGAGTCAAACAATTGACCTAGCCTTGACCTAACTTACAAAGACCCAGCTCTAATCAAAGGCAAATTAATGTGCTCTAACCTAATTAAACTGCAAGATAGAGCACATATTTTTCATCTTTTGATTACATCTAAAGTGTCATTAGTCTTGATAAGAGCTATGAATTTGAAAGCACAGCTCCCTCAGCAGTGTTTACACCCTCCCCTCCGCTGCACACTGTTTCTGCTCTGCCTGGGTTTATAACTCAGACTTACCTCTGCTCTCTGCATTTCTCAGTGAGCTGTAGCCCCAAGACCTCTAAGAAGGTGTCAGGAAAAGAGGCCAAATGAGACCAGAAAAACTCAGTTTTCAGTGAGAGTTATGCTGTGTTATGCAGGACAGCCAGCCTCATGTACAAATTAGCAACTTGGCTGCTTCTGCCTGACCCTTATTCCTGGGCCAGCCACATTAACATACTGCTTCCTAGCTTTCCTCTAAAGCAGACCTGGTCAAGGGCAGTAAAGAGAGAAAAATCCCTCCCTTGCATCCTTGCAAGGGCAAACAGGTCTCCATAGGCAATCCACTGCTTTGAGAGCCCAGGTTTAGTGATGCGCCATTGACTTCCTGGACAGCGGGGAAGAGGCTCAGAAAGCCAGCTGTGAGAATCACCCATGGACAACACTCATGGTACTGCCTGCACAAGTCCACTCCCTACAAGAAATCAGTCACCTCTCCCCACAGACACAGCACCCCCTTTCCACAGCCTTCCTTAAAGTTTGCTCCACATTTAGATAGTCTGAAGCTCTAACCCTGGCCAAGTCCAGTGTTCAGAGTTATCACGAGAAGGCTGTCTGCACTCGCACTGCAGATGTAAATCAGGCTGTGTCCCCATCACCCACAGCCTCCGTGATCCTCTCAGAACCCTGTGTGTCCACTGCAGAACTGTAATTGATTGTAATTAAATCATTGTTACTTTTCCTAAGAAAACAGCCAGTGGTGTATTGAGAATTCCTGCTTAGCAGATCTATCACTTGAGCTTGGGGCTAGAACAATTGGTAAGGGCTTACCTTGAAGCATAAGCACCTAGGTTTTATCCCCAGAACCAATGTAAAACAGTCCAGGTGTGGTGGTGTGTGCTTGTATTCCCAGTACTGGGGAGACAGCGAAAGGAGCATTACTGGGGCTCATTGGCTAGCCAGCCTCATCTAACTAAATGGGTAAGCTAGGGAAAGTCCCTGTCTCAAAGATGGACAGCACCTGTGTGACAATACCTAAAGCCTCCACATGCATGCACACACACACACACACACTCACACACACACACACACACACACACACACACACACACACACAACTGTAAATTAAGACTTTTCTAAAATTAGGGAGTCATTAGTCCTATTTTCTGTGGAATGCCCAACTCTTGCCTTACAGTGTTGGGGTCTGTCTCTACAGAGTGTGGAAACCCACCAGCAGTCACTCAGAAGAAACAGTCAGGACAGGGAGGGCACCTGAAACCATTCAGGTGAAAAATGGTCAAGGGAGCTAAGATATTGACCAGAAAAGAGATGCCTCTGGTACAGAAGATGGCTGTTTTTTAGGGTTTGAGAATTTAATCTTGAGAGAGAGAGAGAGAGAGAGAGAGAGAGAGAGAGATTAAAATCCATCTATGTGTACCCCTAAAGACAGATCTTACCGAAAATGAGGTATTTCTGCTTAACACAGGAAGATATGTCTTTGTGACTCAGAGGATGGGCTGGACTACATTGGGATGAGGTTCTCGGTGGGTTTTGTCTTTAACTCCAGTACATGGTGGGAAAAGTCGCCCTTCCTCACTGCTCGCCTCTTTCTCTCTGTCTTCCTCACCCTTTAGCTCCACCTCCATCCCCACTTGTGCTCCTGCCTGCTTTCCTCCGGCTGGGGCGGGGGGCGGGGCTTCAGCTGCTTCCTTGCTCTCCTTGCAGCCACTCTGGACAGCAGTTGTCCATCCTAAAAATGCGTACATTTTCCAGAATACAAATCTGGTCTTTCTGCACACCTGTCCCTTTAATGCCTCCTTCCTGTTGCTGGGGAAAACAGAGCCCCCCACACAACAAGGCCTGTGAGCTCCCTAACACTCTGCGGGCTCCTGTCTCCATGCTCATCATCTTCCTTTCTGCACCTGTCCTTACTCCAGGCACACTGAATCCTTTTGGTCCCTGAAAACTGTTGTTCTTTCTACCACAACAGCATCTGCACAGAGGATTCCTTACTCCCGGAATCTCTACCTGCTGCTCCCTATTCCTTGGCCAACCCACTGATACTCATGGTTAAAAGATCAACTCCCTGCCCTCAGTTTAATGAAGAATCCCGGAACACCACGGGCTGTACATTCTTTTCTGTGCTTTGTCTCTCAGGGAGTGCACTGTGGGTTCTCACAGGTGTTTATGAGTGGTTACATTAGTAAGAGTCTTGCATGTTTTTATAAGAGAATATTCATGATTGCCAGGAGAGGGCAGGGAAAGAAAAGTATACCAGCAGCTAGAACACACCATTAGTAAAGATCCCTGGCAATCTTAGAAAGACAACCTACGTTTGTACATCTGATTTATTCATGTACAATTTTATTCAATACTATCATTCTTTTTACTACTCAGGGTCACCGAAACTACTTCTTGATCATGATTGCATTCTGTATCATCTTGGCTGGAGCGTTATGCACAGCTTTTTCTGAAATCTAACTATTCACTACCAGACCAGCAGATGGCAGTAGACTCTAGGAAACCGCCTCTACCTGAGAAGCTAGCACAGTCAAGAACCTAGCTCCTCCATAGCAATGGATCTCGGCCACTCTGGCAATGAATGGCTACATGACTGTTAAGCCCACAAATGTGAAAATGAAGAGAGACTATATTTCAGTCAACGTAAATAAAAACTGCTTCTGGTGAGCTGTTAATGAAGGCAGGCTCTCAATGGGACTTATCTGAGTTCTTCCAGCATCCTGAGGAAGCTGGCTTCAACAATGTCTACCTAGTGTTTCATAATCTAGGAATCATGATGGAGTTCATGCAAAAAGAAGTTTCCATCCACATTCCTCCTAACTTATCATTGAAGAAGAGCAGAAAGAAATACATTGCTGGCAGAGGGGAGGAACACAGACACACCTCATGGAATTAAAGTTCAAAGATAACTGGATGCTTTGAGAGAGAAAGCACATGTCTGGTTGATAACTGAATGTTTTAAAATCCACTTCATTGTTTTTATAGTCAACGCTTATTTTTACTTTGAATCAGTATTGCTCGGCGATTACATCACCTGTTCTTTTTAGCTCAAAATGCTTTTATTTCCAGATAACATCCATCCTCAGAGAGCAAGTTTCCACCTCTGGGAATGCGTATGGAGTGTAATACATACACAAGCTCATTTGTGTTGTGTGCCCTTCCAGATCTGGAGAAGAATCTAGTGTTGTTAAGGATTTTAGTTTCTCAGAGGCAATTTAAAGGGAGCATACTTATTTGTATACACAACTATTTTTTTTCTGAAATAATTGCCCAAAATCATTTTAACAGAGATTTTCCGTTTTTTCCTGGTTTAACTGATATCTAGTAGAACATGGGAAACATGTTGGATTTATTCTTTAAGAAAACAAATACAACTCTTTTTTAATATTTTATTTTTATTTTATGTGTATGAGTGTATTGCCTGCAAGTATGTGAATACACCCGTGTCATGCAATGCCGCAGATGTCAGAAGAGGGCTTCGGATTCCCCTGGAACTGGAGTTAAAGCTGGTCTGTAGCCGCCATGTGGGTGCTGGGAGTCGAACCCGGGTCCTCTGCAAGAGTAGTCAGTACTCTTAACCGCTGAGCCATCTGTCCAGCCCCAACAAACTCTTAACACAGTGTTCATTACCAGGATTTCTGCACCCTTAAAAAATAAACTCTGTGCGCATCGTACCTATTCCCTCCTGATGGGCATTATTTTGCTGTGCTAGAAAAACTGAGTAGTTTTCTGCTTGAATACATGGACTCTGAAGCAGCCTGTGTGAGCTTATACCCCACCACTACTTCATCTTCACTCTGTGGCTTTGGACCTGAGTCCTGGACATCAGATGCTTCTCTGTAATTCTGTTCACAAGTGCCTGGTTCGTGACCAACACTGTAAAATTGTTAGCTATTATTACATGTTAATTGAGGGAAACACAAAGTCTACAGATTGGAAAACACTCCATCTGAATTACTGCCTTGACCACTCCCTCGAGTGGTTTTGTTCCTCCAAATCAAAAGTAGCCCTGGAGTCCTGTTTAATCATGATAATATTTAATCATAATTTCTTACATTACCAATTTTAATTTTAACTTGAAATGTCATTAAATTATACTGATAATTTTTGAATAAATTAATATGATATAGAAGGTGTTTTTCTTCTTTAAATATATTGTGGAATTGTGTGGTGGATAGCACTTAATTATTCTTTAGTTGTGATTGCCAGTGGATGTGCAGAATTTTATTATTATTTTGTTTTTTATTTTTATTTGTTTTTTCACTATGTAGCCCTGGCTGGCTTCAAACTCCCTATTTAGGTTAGGCTGGCTTTGAACTCACAGAGATCTGCCTCCCTCTGCTTCCAAAGTGCTGAAATTAAAGGTGTATGCCATCATACCCAGCCCCATATGCAGAATTTTAAACAGGAAGTAAAGAAATTGCAGAATAAAAATGATTAAAAGGCCTTATTCTACCACCAAGCAATGTCTGCAATGTATAAGTAGTATATACTACTTATATGATAGTTTTATAACATATTCTAGTTATATTAATATGTA